GGGTACTGGACTCTATTTGGGTAATGAGGCCTGATGTCCCCTGGGTGGCAGTTCCCTCCCTCCCTCCCTCTTTCCAAAGCAAACACAGGAGCTTGGAGACCAGAGAGGAGAGGGGACCCCGTGACCCAGGCACCCAAGGGGCTGTAGGGAGAGTGGCAAGGGGTCAGACTGCCACTCTACCTGCAGATCTGCCTCCGGTGAGCGAGCAGCCTGGCCATAGAAGGACGGTGGGCCAATTTGTGTCCTGCAAGACGCTGAGTAACCAGCAGGAGTCCTGGAGGGGGACTCCCCCAACTCCCCCACCTTGGAGAGTAGAGCAGCTTCCTCCCACCCCGCTGGGTGATGGCTAGATCTCTTAAGAGACTGTCAACCCCTGAGCCCTGAGACTTCCTTCTTGTGCACAGCCCTGGGAAGGGTCCCAGCCTACAGATCACCCCCTGCCCTGAGATTCTGGACAGGGCCAACAGCAGTCAGACAGTGAGGAGGTGCTGCTGCTGCAGCGAAGCCCCCTCTTATGGGGGCAAGAGCCCCATGCCACCCAGGCCCACTTCGGGCACACACACCCCTTCCCGGGCCTTTTGGGCCTAATGGGCAGGTGGATGAGGGAGAGAAAGCTGCAGGATCCTGTCACGTGATCCTAGGCACATCCCCCTCCCTTTCCAACCCCCAAGGTCCTTAAGTAAGACCAGGAGAGAGAGGCTGATGGGCATAGCGGTTCTAAGGACAGGGCTGAGAAACCGATTCAAGCCTGACTATAACCCTGAGGTAGGGAATCTAGCAGGCCACCCAGAGATCGCAAGCACACCCTCCTCCAAGCCCTGCCCTGTGGGCATTGTGAAGGTCCGGCTCTTGGGACTGGACTTTCAGGCCTGTTACAGGAAATGATAAGATTTGAGAGGTGACCCTCAAAATGCCACCCCAGCAGAAGTTGTCCCCTTCATCGGCCCCTTTCTCCACCATCCCGCTGACCCAGCCCTCTCCCCGACAGTGGCAAGCTGGTGTCCCCCAAGTGGAAGAATTTCAAAGGCCTCAAGCTGCTCTGCCGAGACAAGATCCGGCTCAACAACGCCATCTGGAGGGCATGGTACACCCAGTGTGAGTGGGGGGCACCAGGAGTCCTAGACAGCTTCTGCCATCTCTAGAGGGTTTGAGGAAGTGTCACCCCTGTGGGGTTTGGTTCCCTCTGAGTCACTCTCCCCACCACCACCAGACCCTAAATTCTAGGTAGAGATTTAGGGGCCACCCTAGGCCATCCTTCACCCCTCTGGTGGCATCATGCTTACATATCGGGCTGCAAACCACAAGGTCAGCAGTTCAAAACCACCAGCCACTTCACAGCAGAAAGATGAGGCTTTCTATTCCCATGAAGAGTTAAGGTCTTGGAAGCCCACAGGGGCCGTTCTACCTGGCCCAAGGGGGCCGCTGGGAGTCGGAACAGACTTAATCACTGTGAGCAGGGTTTTTGGTTTGGGGTGTAGTCAGAGGCTGATCACCCCAGCAGTGTACCTGCCTCAGGAGCACCCTGCAGGGCCTCTCTTCTCTACAGCCTTACCCCAACCCCAACCTCACCCCGAGGCAGGACAAGACACCCAGAAATTTCTGATGACCAGCTGAGACTCGAGCCCTTCAGGGTCCTCCCCAAGACAGAGCCTGGCTCCCATTGGCTGCAAGACCCATGGGCACTTTGGACACAACTGGGCCGTTCACATCACTTTACAAAGGAGGGAAGTACAGAGCCCCAGGCGCTTCCTTCTGTATTTCTGCAGGTGCAACCCCAAGATCTGGGAGGGTATCCCAAGAGACCATGTAGTACCAACCCAGGGGGGCATGAGGTGGAGGGTGCTGGGAAGAGGATGCTGGACTCACAGACACCCAGTGAAGCTTCCTACCCTGCCTCTGCCCAGGGCTAGTTTTCTGGGGCGGCAGGTCGCCTGACCTCTCTGAACCTGGTTCCTCTTCTGTGAGAAGAGGCCATGGGGCCTCCTTGTCAAGGCTGGCACAGCGATCAGGTCATGGGCATGGAAGAGCCTCATAGGTAGGTAGGTAGCAGGCACTTGGGTAGATGGGCTCTGCCCTGGAGAAGGCCACAGTTGTTTGGGAAAATGAGCCACGCCCCGGTGGCAGGGCCACAGAGGTCCCAGCACTCGGACCCAGCTCAATCCGATCCGGCCAGAGTTAAGGGTCATGCTGCTCTGGGAACTCAGCACTCCTCTGTCCTGGCTGCTGGGCTCTCCCGAGGCGAAGTTGAGCTTGTGAAGTCCAGGATTCTCATCATCTACCTCTGCCCGGAGCTCTCTGGCCACCCTGGGCATTCTTGGCATGAGCCATGGAGGCCGGGAGGCGAGTACTTGTGCAGGGTCACAGAACATGAAAGGAGCAGGCGAGGGCCTCCCTGTGCGGGTGCCCTTGGACAGTGGCCAGATGGCCGGCTCCCAGTCCTCGGCGCAGAACACAGGCCTCCCGGCAGAGCTGTGGGTGAGGTTGGCACCCTGGGCTTAGGCGAGTTGCTGCTGCCATTTCCGAGAACTTGCAGGATGGGCCCTGGCCAAACTAGGAAGCCGGCAGGGGGGAGTCAGCGTCCCTGCAGAGGGTCA